GAAAACTTGATATATAGAAGGAGAATTGTGTTGATCGTCTGGAGGTTAGCATCAGCCATAATTTTAAATTAAAAAAATAGTTAACGTTTTCGAGATTAGCTACAAGTTCGGCTTTATCGATCGTATCAACCATACTATTTAGATAGAAGTTGTGGAATCGTGGATTCCACCCTTTTGCGTGCGTGCGCGTGTATTGCACCCCTTCCTTTCACATTTGGCTAGATATAGCAGTAAACCGCTGACGTGAGGAAGGTTGCTGGCTAGCTACTCCTGATACCGTCTAGAATCAGAATTTGAAATTTTCCCGCGCATTTCTCTGACGTCACTAACAAACTTCGTTTTTCAAGTCAGTTGCTGCCTGATTTTCAAACAAGAAGGCCGACTCATTTATTCCGTGTCCCTAACCCATACGCGGGCCGGAATATCTTAACTAACCAAAATTTCAACATGTCGTGTGATTACAACTTCTCTTCAAACAACTTGTTTGAACCTTCTTCCGTTTTTCTACGAGAAAACGTAGAGTATCGACACTGTCGACATCACACTTTTCCAAGACCAATTCCTCGTCTTGAAATGAACAACATGTTTAAACCTTCTTCATTTTCTACCAGAGTCTACGACACTGTCGTCAACACACTTTTCCAAGACCAAATTCCTCGTCTTGATGCGAACTACTTGTTCGAACTTTACTCTGTTCACTACCAGAGTCTACGACACTGTCGTCACCACACCTTTCCAAGACTAATTTCCTCGTCTTGATGCGAACAACTCAGAATTTTCCTTCACTGAAGATTGATGAACTTTTCATACACCTCTTTTGAATTCTAACCTTCACGAACCAGTTTTTAAAAAAGATAAAATTACACACACATTATTAAACTTCGCAATGAGTATTTTTCCTTGTGTATGCTTACACCTTTTGTACAAGAAAACTACATTCCAGAACTTTCATTCTGAAGAAACTTTTCCCGCTTTAGCCATCTTGGTTTTTTGTTTTGGCGCGGAACTTTAATATTCTATTAGTCTCTACCTATTATTAACTGCCTACTGGCTAAGAACACTCCTCACCTTTTCTGATAGTCTCCACTGTTAAGACAAGAATATTTGTTATTAAAATAAAGTTTCGTGTTTGTTTTCAAACAGACTCGTTTTGTCGCACCCGTCATTACGTTTTTCTCAGTTTCTTCTACTTTCAGTAATCTCTTGCCTCTTAGTAGCTTTATCGTCTTGGGGTAAAATGATTAAAGAAATGAGAAGTTAATATCTGTCTATATTTCTGAGATGAGGTATTCTAAATGTTTACACTGTTTACATTGTTCGGACAGTTTTCGAGTTGATAAAAGCGTTTGTTGAAGTAACCCAGTGACTTGACTCAAAGTTGCGTATTCAGTACCTGGCTCCAGCAGAGGTGAACAATAGTTTGAAGTGTTGAGTTAAAGGGAAATATATGGGACTGACATATCCAGAAGAGGCATGGCACGTGGAACTAGAACAAACTGCCCCGGTGGACGTAATAAAGTGTTCAGGTTCGAAATTCCAATCACCGGAAGAAGGCCGGAGCGTAAAACGGCCGAAACGCCATGAATATAGCAAGAAAGACGAGGAAAACAGTCCGAACAATGTAAATAGTGTAAATAAATGAGAGGTCAGTTTTCATGTCTATTTATTTTCAAAGCAAGCAGATTATTTATATAATCTGCTTATTCCTGCTCGCATTTTTGTCCTTGTGTCATACTAAGTTGAATTGAATACATATTAATAGAAAATCCCCACTCCCCGGAGATAAACACCGTTTTAGATCACCGAGAATCTCTACCAATCACTGCGGTAAAGCACCTTTTTAACCATTATTTTCTTTACTATCGCACCAAGTACGTACCGACGTTTGATTTAGACCCAGTTTTGCTGACATCTTACCCAATCATTTGCCTGTGCTATCTTGAACAGTTATTGCTTGAAATTATTTGCCATTCCAAAGATGACGTCCTTTCACAAGATGGCCCGTCTTCAAAGAATTGATCTTCGTGTCGAAATCCCTGGAACCAATAGATCGATGACCGAACGTGTAATTGATGTTTTCGATATCTTTGAGTCCGAGTTTGAAGTCGTTAAAGAATGAAATAAAAAAAAATCCTTGTTACTCATTGCTTGAAGCTTTCTCTGGAAAGTGTTCAGATACAGAATCGCGACAATAATCCTGTGACAAATGCCATTTACTACACACCACGAATAGCTTACTCAATATTCTGCTTCTAAAATCGTTATCTAAGAACGACATTGATTTGGAGATAATTTCTTCACAGCAACTATTAAAGCTAACTGTCCGATTTAAAACAGTGGTTATCAAACAGTTCTTTTCTGTTACTGCTTTTCAGATAATTTTGCAAAATGACACCATCTTCTTCTTCCTGTTCTATGTGCCGTGTTTCTTTAAGACGTGGTTGATCATGGGCCTTATGATGATTCTTGCAGCACTTATTAATGTTTGTCTTTTTACGATCCCTTTCTGCCATCCATTCATATTAGCTTGTCACTGTCTATTTAGCCTACGATAATTATCCTGTGAGTATGAAATTTTACGAGCCATCTTCATGTGTTATCAAAACTTGAGTTTTATCTCTCTGATTCTGAATGTAACTGTACATTTTATTTCCATTCTCCTTAAATGTTTCACGTTGGTTCCACTTTCCGTCCATGGTATTCTCAGCATCCTTTTGTAGGATCAGATTTCTGTTTTTTTCCAGTTTTCCCTTCATCTATGAGGATATTGTTTCGGCCGTTTTACGCTCCGGCCTTCTTCAGGTGGTTGGAATGTCGAACTGAACTCTTTATTTCGCTCGCTGGAGTAGACTGTTCTTGTTCCACGTGCCATGTCTAATGGATGTCAGTTATCAGTTATCTTCTGTTAATTCACCTCACCAATGCCTTAGCTAAGTATTGAACTCACAACTCTTTGTGTACTGTGATTGGATCTAACCAACGCCTGTGTCCACTGTGCCATGTGTCCATAAGTCCTGATTACGTTGTGATGAATATAGCATTGAGGACAATAGTCCGAATAATGTAAATAGTATACATAATACCTAATCTCAGAAATATAAACAGATACTGAATAATATTTCTTTAGAAACAAAAAAAAAATAAAGAGTGTTGAAACGCTATATAATATCAATCTGCTTATATGGCCACGAAATCTAGACAATATCCTCATAGATGAAGAGAAGACTGGAAAAAAAAAAACAGAAATCTGTTCCTACAGAATGATGCTGAGAATACCATGTTATCGGCTTAATATTATTGTATTACAGAAGAACAAATCACCGGAAGTAATCTGTAACCCTCTAATTATTAATAATTATGCATTATATATAATTATTCATATACAAAGAATATCTTATACTTATATTTAATTACATTAGTAAAGCTTATTATATATTAATTATGAGAGTAGGCATCCTTAATTATTAGTAATTAAGGATGCCTACTTTACACTACTCTTTAAGCTCTTTCTGGAGATAATTATTCAGGAAACTCTGAACGACCACAATACTTCTCTCTATGCCGTCGGAAGTCTTAGCTGCAAGCTGAGTTTCGCAGACGATATTGACGTTATGGCGGGCAGTTACAAAGAACTGCAAGACCAACAAACTCGCTGAAAGAGCCGTTGCATATGGAATGAAATTCAATACAGAGAAATCCAAAGTCATGGTAAATAGCACAAGGAACATCAGTGCTCTCGTCATCATGGACGGCGAACCACTAAATGAAATGTCCGGCTCAAAATACCTGGGAGTAATGCTCTCAAAAGATGGTACCTGTAACGCAGAAATCCGGACGTGGATCGCCACAGATGCAGGAGCGATCGCCAAATTGGAACAGATATGGAAGAACAACATCAGCTTCCAGAGCAAGTTTAAACTCTACAAATCTCTGGTTGTATCAATGATCCTCTACGGGGTTGAAACTTGGACACTTCTGAATGAGGCAGGAAAAAGTCTTCCGAGGATAAATGCTTGACAAAAACCCTTGAATCTCGTAATGGAAGTACAAAACTAATCATTATGTACGAAGGAAGGTCAAAATACTTGTGTATCGACTGGAATCTCTGCTCGACCCTATAAAGCGTCCGAAGATACCATGGCTTGGACATTTTTACACGGCATAAACCATCAGCTTCTGCAAGACCATCATGTCGATCCTATTGAGCGTCTGAAGATACAATGGCTTGGCTACTTTACACGGCATAGACCATCAGCTTCTGCAAGACCATCATGTCGATCCTATTGAGCGTCTGAAGATACAATGGCTTGGCTACTTTACACGGCATAGACCATCAGCTTCTGCAAGACCATCATGTCGATCCTATTGAGCGTCTGAAGATACCATGGCTTGGCTACTTTACACGGCATAGACTATCAGTCTCTGCAAGACCATCGTGCAAGACAATAATGAAGTCGGATGCAAGTGGGGACGGCAACGCGAGAGCTGGTCGAATAATATCAAAGAGTGGACGGACATGACAATGTCGGAACTTCTGAGACCACCGCTAATAGATCATCCTGGAGGAGGTTGTCTGTTTCTTCTGGCCTTAGGTCCCTACCGACCGTTGATGCTGTTAAGAGACTAATGATGTCGAGTATGAAGCTATAGCAGGAAGAGTCTAGCGGCAGTTAGAGGATCAGACCAAAGAAACTGTCAGACGATCGTTTGAAGATACTTCTTCCATGCGCACATTGAAACTGTATGTGTAATTTAAAAATATATCTGAGATTATAAATATAGAGAAATAAAAAAATGAGAAAATGCTTATTTAAAATGGAACATTTTCCAGACATCGTTCAAAGCGTTTAATTATCTTGAGGCCCTGTTAAATTTATAACTGCCTACATAACTCCCCTGAAATTTTACTACACCTCAGCGTCTATAAGGGGACATTGCTGCCTATGTTTAAATTGTTTTAAAATATGCATATAATTTTCTTATCCCCACCCGTCAGTTTACTGCCATATCACGTTGCCACACCTGTTCACGTAAGGTCACCGAAGTTAAGCTCTATCGAGCGTGGTCGATACCTAGATGGGTGACCGCTTGGAAAAAACTAGGTACTGTAAACTATGATTTGCGGCTGGTGTAATGGATCTACGGCTCCGAATTGGATATCGGTGAACCGGGTTTCAATTCTAGCAGGGTTCATAATATTGATTTACGCCCAAATACCCTTGGAACAAGTATGAATCTACTTCTTATCCCCCCAGATATGGGTTAATTAAATGCATTTTTATCTGTAAATCATTATTATCTACAAAATATTTTTTGCAATCTACATATATTTTCTTACGAAATACAAACTTCAAAAGGTTGATAAGACGTAAAACTCCAATCAATTAATCTTGTTTTCCACATTATGATTTGAGAAATACAGAGTTGACAATAAATGACTAACATTTTTTTAATACTAATTTAACCAAGTTATCTCTAACATACAATAGCTTGAGCATTTTCTTAATCAGCTTTAGGCTCTAATTTCTTTGTTATTGTATAAAAACATTATATTCTAATATATCGTTTTGTAGCCAGGAGTTATTATCAGCATACGCAGATATTGGTGTAGTCGCATTTATTTTCTATTACTGCTTGTAGCTATCACTACTCTGAAATTGCACAAACCTTCTATGAAATGCTTTTTCACTACAATAGTGTACATTCTTAAATATCTCTTCTTTGACTCTCCTGAATTTTGAGTGGGTGAAGAAGTGCAAATAAACTATAATGCACACGCTGCAGCTGCAAAGAGCCTAAAATAGAAAGCACATGCAATGAACCAAATGCAGACACGATTATAAGACAAGCCTCTACATGGTCAACACTCATCTCGTACCAAACAAGCTGTTGTAGACTAAACCCATACTCATCAGAAGTTACGTAGTGCAGGATTAAAAGGTTTTATTCTTGCTTTACATGAACACTGCTTGCTAACTAGAAATTAACGAGCACTCTGAAAAAAAATGTGTTAATCCGAAATGTAGGTTCAGTGATAAATAACAGGAAACAATTGGCCATCTTGTATCAGGTTGTACGGTGTTAGCACACACTGAATATAAAACACGGCATGATTGCCTGGGTCACTATTAGAAGTGGAATATATGCAAATTTTACGGGAAGGAAACTGCAAGAAACTTGTATGAACATCGCCCAGGATCGAATACAGAGATAGGATCTGTAACAATATTATGGCACTTTACAATACACACAGAGAGAATAATCGAAGCTAATCGTTGCGTCATCGTGATCAAAAACCACAAGATCATTACTGACATGGCAGTCTCTGCAGATTGTAATGTATCTTCGGAGACTTTAAAAAAAAAACTATCAAAATACAAGGATCTTGACATGGAAATCAAAAATGTGGCACACGAGGACAGCAATAATTACAATTGTAGTTGGAGCCCTCGGATTGATTGGAAAATGTTCCATTATACTCATTGAAGTGTTTCCTAGTAGCCCATGTCTTAAACAATACAAAACATTTTACTCACAATTACAGCTTTCACATTACGAAGAACTTTATGTATGTAAAATATGTATGATCTTAATTTTGTTTTTGTCGTTTCTTTATTAAAAAAAATGGTTATTTTCTAAGTGCAGCTTAGATGTAACACAAGGCCGAAACTACGGAGCACTTAGTGAGGATCGAACTCACTTTTAACTCATCTAGCTAGACAAGCTTACTAACCATTATACCACACCGAGGCGCCCTTTTTTTTTTTTTTATAAAAATGATTAGTGGAAAACACCATGAAACCATTTATTACATCTCTGGGCGGGATCCGGAAGAATATGTGTATACAAGAGAAATCAAAGGAAATAATAATAAATGATATAATAATACTATTTTGTTGGTCATAACTAGACTCATACGAATGTCATACATGGCACCCAACTCGTTGAGACATATATAAAGACATATCTTAGCTATATAAAATCATTTTCTCAGATCAGCAACTAAAAATGACATCAAGCGAATTAATCGTCTCGGTTTTAAAAAGGCAGTCCATTATAAAAAACTTATAGACTACGGAATCACAAATAAATTAAATTACAAGTAACAAAAATCACATTATTAGAATATTTTCAACAGCAGCAACAACTAAAATGGATAGCCCATATACCTAGAAGAGAAAATGACATAAAAAAGATGTTGACTTTCCACACTACGTTAAAAATGCTTTGGAATGAAACTCGTATCAGTACTAAAAAGAGCGATAACATTTAGTGGACAAGGGAAGCTAGATTTCTGAAAAACGTTAAGAAAACTATTTTATAAATTTCTACCGACATTAACACGGACTTTTCGGCCAATAAATGTCGAATGTTTCCTGTATATAAATTGGTAATCTCTGCATTTCCTATGAGATATATAATATAGGAATATTTTTACAAAAAAAAATATTTTTTTTTACAAACTTTTGAATATTCTTTTACAAAATAAACCTATAATTATTTTATGATTATTATATTTTTATCTAAAAAAATATTTAAAAAAATGTTTTTGCTCGCTAGCAAATTTTTAAAAAAACATTTCATTCCAAGCAAGGCCATAATGTCACTAAGATGGAAGGGGTTCTGAAATTAAAAGAAAATGAGATGGTAATTAGCAGCTCGGAGGGAGGAATCGGAGAGCCGAGTTCAAATTCCAGTCAGATCCATTACATTCACTTACGTGCTAAGACCCTTGGGAATGGTATGAATCCTCTCTTTCTCTCCTCAGCCAGGGATAAATAGCTGGGCAAACCATGTTCTATAGCCTTGGATGGCAGAAAGAAATGGCAACCTACTGCTGAAAAAATGTGCCTCATCAGTCATGTTTCGAAAACAACATGATCGCCTAGCGTGAATCACGCATGGCACATAACTGACTGAGTAAGAAGAAAGGACAATAAACGAACATGTTTCATAAAGACAGAAGAGAGGTGATTAGGGTTGCGTTTAAATGTTTTAGGATTGTATGTGACAGGGAATCAAGAAAAAGGAAGAGAAATGCTACGAACGAGAAATGCGAGAAAAGAAACTATTAGAGTAGAACTTACGGTTATATCTCGTTATTTCAACAGTACAACGATAAGAACTATTTGCCATTTAAATTCATGCAATCGAAATACCAAGAAGGAAATCTCATTGGAACAATTTCAGTGCAAATATTTACAGTAAAAGACAAAAGGAATCTATGTAATGACGATAGGAAAGTGACTGGAGTAGAGATGCATGAATAATTTACACGGTATTCTAATTATGTATATTTAAAAAAAATAATTTGCTAATAGACTCCTGCTGATTAAGAATCCGTAGGAATACGAATAAAGCTAACTAAATTGTGAATAGATTTCGAATTTAATCATCAGTACCATTTACTGGACTTGAGATGCTTATTTTCCTGAAAAATGTTTTAAGAGAAACATTTTATAAATTTCATTTGACAGCAATGCTTATTGTTCGGTTAATGAAGGCCGAATATTACCTGTATGGGAACGGCTATTATTATTATTATTATTATTAGTAGTAGTAGTAGTATTAGCACTATTAGTATTATTAGTACTATCTTTCCAATCATGAGAACCCAGGTTCGAATCTCACCATTGTCGATTTGTCAGGAAGGTGACTATTTTATATTATTGGCGATCCTACTGTACAGTACCTTTGAATGTGTCTGAAAAACCATACCACGGGTTGACACAAGCCTTGTGAGTGGGTGAAATTAAGAAGAGGGGACCTCTTGCAAGTCACCGTGACCGCGAGTTTGAAGGTACTGTCCGTGTTGAGACTGTTGATCACGCCAGCTCTCTCAGAAACTGTAACTAAGACCAGCTCAACACAGTCACAATTTAAACCACCGGTGGGCTGTGTGGGTGCTGAACGAAAATGTGCCTGAGCAAGCGTCTGCAATAGGGATTGACTAGCCGCCCGAACAAATAGGCATACACGGATACGAGCGGACATTATTATTATTATTATTATTATTATTATTATTATTATTATTATTTAATTTAATATACCTATTGCAAAACGATGTATGTCCATATGTGATCGACACATCCAAACAAGATGGAAGTGGAATGTTTGCAAGTTAAAATGACAAGAAAAGAAGGTATAAAAGAGAATAATCGATAACGGATATTGCTAAACTAATGACCACCATTTGTTCGAGTGAAAGCGAAGAGAAGAACGTTGGCCGCAACCTGGTAAAGGCCTTTCAGATTTGATTGAATATGGATGAGATTGCACTAATATTTTTACTGCTTTTGGTCCAATCAGTAATCACCAGTCCATTCATCGCCCTTCAGTTTCGTCGTGACGCAAAAATTCTTTTTCTTCGTTTCGTCTTTTCTTTTCCTCTTTTTACGCAGACCTCCTTTTATGTGTCCCTTTTAATTTTATTTTATTTTTATTTTGGGGGATGGTGATTTATACATTTCGTTTCATTTAGTTTTCATTCAAACCTTGTACTTGGAACCAATGATAATTGTTTTCTACATGATCGCAAGACGCGCGTATTTACACACAGTTGCGTGCAATTTATACCACTTACTCATCGCTCCTCCTCCTCCTTTACTTCTATCTTCTCTTCTCCTTTATATATATATATATATATATATATATATATATAATAATAGGATTAAGAATACATAAGGTTAATGATCATTTTAAACTTGTAAATTGAAATAAAATTTACAAGGACTTTTCCAACCAGTCAATGGATGATGAATTATTGAAATAAAAAAAAATCTTGTAAATTTTATTTCAACTCACAAGGTGAAAATGATCATTAACCTAATGCAATCTTAATTCCTATTTTATGAAATATGTTGCTCTACTTAATTAAAACATTGAGCTCTATGTGTGAATCAGTTTTAATATTTAATACTTTATATTATATTGATATTATTCACTTGGATTATATAGCAACGGATTATATATATATATATAGGGTGGTGCGGAAATAACCCCCCCACATATATATATATATATATATATATATATATATATATATATATATATAGGGTGGTGCAGAAATGCATCTCATATATACCTCCCAGAAAGGTCTCCCACATAATTG